ATCATCGACCGGGTATTACTCACTCGATCCCGAAATATCCGATGGAAGCAGGAGAAACAGACCATAATGTCCCTTCATTCATAACCGATGAGTCTAGACAACCTGGATCGTGAAACACGTTTGTGTACCGGTTTCCGACTTTCTCAATTTAGCTTTTTTTTTTCCTCGAATAAATCCCCACACGAGTTTCGTACCGGTGATTAGGATCGTGAGTTCCATTTTTGGTTATTTCAATGGACCTTTACCTAAGAACGTATCTGTGACTAAAGAAAAACGTCGAATGTCACAATTTCAAAAGAATTTGAATTTATGCAAGCTGTAGAATATAGGATTTATGTGTTTAATGGAAAAAGATGCACAAAAATAAATTTTATGTCTCCTAGTATCTTCGTTTTGTGATCGCTTTTCATTTTCTCTCTCTAATAGTATGCTTATACTCTAACTTATTTTGTATAAAATAAAACGAACAAAATTATATTCCATATTTTCATTTTACGAGAAATAGCATGCTATTACATATGCGCGATACCTACGTATGTAACTTGTATTTCACAAGAAGAGTCGCAATATACAGAAGAATATTATGCAAAGGGAAGGAAATACACGTTTACAACGTAAATAAAAAACAAGGAAACATTGTTAATAAGAATTGATGTTCAGGACTTTAAACGACAATATCTCGAAAGTGAAAATATGTGACATGCGGCATTTTTCCTAGCACCCACAGAATATATACGGCGTAAATTATTTTTTGATAGCTAAAAAAGAACTCGTAAAAAGCAACGGAATTTTAAACGTTTACGTTGTCTTAGGTCTCGGTCAATCACCTCCTTTCCCTGTATCGAGATCGACGATAAAAAAAGAAAAAAATAAATCGTATGGAAATGAATGAAACACATGCTTCGAGGTCACGGTCGGGGGATCGCACGCCGTGGAAAACGTATGCCTGATCGATTGTCTTCGACGCGGCTCTAATGTACGCGCGGGGACGCGGTCGACGATAAAGCATCGTGTCCGATGACGCCGATAAGCCAGATAGAAATATCGACCGGAGAGCGGTACCGCGTGTAATTATGCGGACTATTCGTTTCGCGGGTTCCGGTACCATCGCGTATCACTTTGCAACTATTCGAGCCGTGCGCGCACCCCTCCCAACCCCTCCCGCCATTGTTCCGTACGCTATCAGCGTCCATTTGTAAACGTCCCTTCGACTCGTAGGTAACTGAATTTCGTAGTGATTCGCCTCCTCCTCGAGGGACGGCCGTTAATTGCCGTGCACTGAAATCGCGGCAATTCCCGGCGTACTTACCAACTGGGCCTAATCTTAAATGAAACTTTACCTCCCGGACACGCTAACCTCAGATCAAACTTCAACACGAGTACATACTTGCTTAATATTACCCGCATTCCAGGTATTAAATCATGGAACTTTTTTGAAGTAATTAGAACCCCCCTTGTAAATCTGATACTCGTAATTGTTTCCTCAAAACAATTTCATTTTGTGTCTTTCTTCTCGAAACTGGAGTGCACACTACATGACATAACTATAGAATCACTCTAAAAGTGTCAATTCTTATGTATTGTGTTTACAATAAAAACAAACCAAGTATGGTATGTCTAAAATCGTGGTGGGTATAATGTTTCTCCAGAAAAAGATACATTGTATATTATTATACAATTAATAAAACTACCAATTCACAGAAAATTAAAAATAAAATTACAATTGACCGTAGAAAATTTAAGATAATATACAACTCACTGTTAAATAAGCCATTAAAAATCATTATAAAACAATAACAAGAAATAAAATATACCCAATAATAATAAAGCTACATTTTTTTAAAATTATAATCTTCCAACTAAATTCACTCCATTTCAGATCATAGTGTATTGGTAGCTTTCTGCCTAACATGGCCCATTTATAGTTCCATAGAGAAGCTATAAAACATGTGAGATCGATCGATCTCCGATTCCCTGTCGCGTGTCTCCCTCCGTCCAAGGAAGATACACCTGTTCCCCGTGCGCGGTTCGAACGTAGCATCCGCGCCATCGAATTCCCCGCGTGACCGTCCTCGATGTAGTAAGCCGCAAAACCCAGCTCGCCCCGGCGAGACGCACACGGTAGAGGCCAGACACGGGTGGGCAGCATTCCAGGCCGTGGCCACGACTACGCGGCGAACCCAGGCCCGTGTTCCCGAGCATCCGGAGCGAAACGGGTGCATCGAATACTATTCCCGGGATACACCTGATTCCCGACGGGCTGCTGCTGCTGCTGTTGAGCCCCCGCCGACAACACAGCGTTTTCCCCCCTTATGAACGCGGTCGGGAGTCAGGTGGAAGGAGGTGGGAAGGTGGAGTTTATCGGTGACGAGTCTCAGGCCGGGGCTCACCGGTGCTGGAACTCTGGTAGGGGCCCCCCTGGCCGCCGTTGCGTACCCTGGTAACATTGGACCCCCACTTGCGGCTTCGGAAGTCGAAGGCGCATACACGACCGACGACGACGACGACGCCGTGACTACTACAACCCGACACCGACACAACGACACGACGACGGACGGACAGAGAGACAACCGACACACACAACACACACAAAGAAGTGGACGGCTACGACGACGCGACAAAGACACAACGCCGCGCAACCGGCGACCATCGTCCGTCCCACCGTCTGCAGTTGCAGTCAGCCACACGGCGCCTTACGCTCGAGCACGCGCGACATTTCGCTCCGCGGGGAATTCCCACGAGTTTCCCTTGGACGCACGGCCCCTTTGCGTTATCGTTTCTGGTGACTATCTTCGCCGCCGCCCGCGCGGCGCACAGGGCACGTCCGGGGGACTCACTGCTAGTGTGTGAGTCACCGCAGATGCCACGCAGCAGCACCAGGCGTACAGTACACGACACGAACGGCGCGCGCGCGACAGCGAGCGAGCTTAGAATTCCTCGAGCGGGGAGCCGATAGTTTCGACAAGAGGTGTATTGAGATCCAGAAACATACCACCGTCAGATTTTCCGCGATTAGTGCCCACAAGGTTGCTCCGGAAGTGTTAGAGAAAGATAGAGAGAGCGAAAGAGACAGTTTGCGAGGGGCAGAGGAAGAGTGACAGTGAGTAAATCGTACGGTGGAATTGTTGTGTGACAGGGAGAGTAGGATCATCCGGTAGGAATTCTGGTGAAGCGTCAGGTGATGAAACCACGGGGACCGATCTAACCCCGGGAGAATTTCGCGCGCGCGTGAACGAGCGAACGAACGAACGTGCGTGTGCTCTACCGTAGTCATCGCTTTCGAGTTTATTTTCTATTCAGCCGAGCCGAATAATTCGGAGGGAAAGCGACTATTCTCGACACGATGTTTCGCTGAACTTTCGAAATATTCGACTTTTTGCCTTTCTATTTGCGTGGGATGCACGGTGGCATGTCGCGGGAAATCGCGACCATTTTTTGACGAACGGGAGGAATGGTTCGTTTTTTTTTTTTTTTCCCTCTTTCTCTGCCTGTTCGAATTTCGATCTTTTTGGCGGGCTCGGTGAATCACCCGATCAACCGATTCCGTTACTCGCGTTCGCGGAAAGTTCAAGGGAACAATCACGCGAGGAGGGGAGGCGGTTTTTCTTAAATCGTTAGTTTCAACGTGATAGCGTATAGTCCATTATATGGTAATTACCGTGGCGCATATTCGACGAGCAGTGTTAATTCACGCTCGAGTAACTTTGACATATCGGGAACATAATTGGCCAGACAGGGCAACGCGCGATCTCGTTCGATCGTCGACCCTCCACACTCGCGCGCCTTCGCCATCGGAATAATCGTTTTGCATCATTATTCGCCCGCACCCGTCACCGGTGTCGCAAGAATCCGTAAAATTTTCCCGGTGCACCCTTGTCCCCTCTCGTTGTTCCACGTTCATCGTGAATATTGAAACTAAAATTATGAAACTAAAGAACACCAGTTTTGGAATCCAACAACTCGAATGTAACTATGCTCAGAGGCAATTATTCGCGATAATTGTATCGTAAGCGGACGAATACGATTCTACGCGAATCAATTCCTCGACGACGATATCGCGAGAAAATCGTTAAACTGTGACGTCTGTCGTTTGGTGATAGTACACGAAACGACACGTTAACGGACGCAGAAGATTTCAATTCGTGCGTAACCCGATCTGAATAGCCTGTAATTCGTTCTCCATTGAAAAAAAAAATCCCTCGTAATTCGTTCGGGAAATCGTAGAAACAATAAAGACACGGGTTATCACCTGACCGGCCGGTGATCATGCTCGCGGATCGAACGTCACGTTGCAATAACGGAACTACGTCATCGATTGGCGAGCGGACACGGTAGACCGATAAAAATTTCCTGGCCACCTTCGCCGCCACGTCACACCGGTTTCTCTCGACACCGTTCCCTTCCACGCGATCCCAAGAAGGTCAAGTACTTCTAGACCACCGATCCTTCCGTTATTGACGTATCGCGACGGGTATTCTTTCATTTGCACTCTGTAATCACTGCGCCGACTTGATCATCTCCTCGTCGAAGGACTCTTCCTTTCTTAATAGAAATATCCTTCGTTCTTCGATCTAGAGAAAAGAAACCGGACGGAAGACTTGGATCAACGAGGAAATCGATAATCGAGGGACACACTCGTGGAAACGAGTAAACGATCGTTACACCGCACGGGGTAGATAGCTACAACGACGGGTCTTGATCAGAAGTGTCCGAGAAGAAGTGGTTCGAACGGTGGTGTGGATCGTCGTACAGATAGGGAGTGCAGGGTGGAGGAGGTGTAATTTCGTTCCTGCATCCGTAGAACGTGTTACACGCGCCTCGCGGAAAGGTGACAACGGAGGGGGGTTTTACATGCGTCATCGTCGTGCGGCTACAAATCGCATGCGACGAATCGTTTCGACGGCAGTACACGTGCGTAACGAGAAGCTCGATCGGTCCTAAGGAACACGGAGCTTCCGATCCTCTACCAAGGACGCACAGTGATAAATGCGGCACCGGAGATGACGACCACCGCGTTCTCCAAAATGGTCACCCGGTTCCTACTGCTCCTGGTGTGCCTCGTCGCCGCGTGCAACGGTAAGTACACACATTCTTTGTGATATACTTTTTGGTTTTTGAGAAATTTTGTAAAGAAACGTTTCTTTCCATTTTTTTCTGGAATTTCGTTCATTCACATCAAACTTAAAGAAATTCGTTAGTCGAATTGTTGTTCAAAGTAGCTCCCAAATTCCATCGTGTGAGAACAAAGTAGGACCGTCGAACTTGAAGAATTTAATTACTCGTATTAATAGGTCAGTGATTATCGCAAAGTTACATATTCATACAGTAATACATAATGGAAAGTATTGCCAGTGTATAAAAAAGGTAATAAAGGCTCCAATTGTCAAGTTGAATTTTGAAACATGACAAGTATTGTTCGCTCCTAAACAGTTAGCTCGATAGAGAGTTGGGTCCGTCTCTCCGTAGCGGAAAAAATGTCCGAAACGAGAACGTCGGGGGAGAACTGTACGCGGCGCATTTACTGAAGAACAATTGAATTACAATGGATAAGTGGTCTAGCGATAATTTTTAACCGAGACTGCAGATTAAACGCAGTCAGAGCTATAGAGAGTTGGCGCGATACGTCGACGCTTGGTGTTAGTCGCTCGAAGACAAAAATATTGAATTCATCGACCGACCGTTTCGAGAATTACTACCCTCCTGAAAAATTTAGGAATCCCATGCAAATCAGTGCCTTGGCTTGTATATAAAGTTTGTTTTCCGTTAAAAGTTCCGAAAGTTTTGAACAGTCGACAAGTAATTTGCGCCGAATCGATCCGACAAACAGCGTGTAATAATGTCGGTCGTGCGATACGGCGATGAATTAATATGCTACGAGCCATCATTTTTCACGACTTCGAAGGCCTTAACCTCGACAAGGGCCACGTAGCCTTTAAATGACTTTACGAGGTTGCATTCGAAATGACTAGCGCGAGGGCAATGCTTCTGTTGTTGCTATCGTATCTACGTGTCTATGTGTATCTACGTTGTCACAAAATATTCTAAACTATCTAAAATTTACAAATATGTTTAGGTTTTCACAAAAATTTTAATTCAAATAAGAAATGGTAATTACTTTTCTCGCATGACGAGTATACTCGTCATTAGATAAAAAAATTGCCATTCCTTCATGACGGGTATACTCATCATTCACAACTAAGAGATTAATGGTTTTTAGCCCAGTGATAAAGCTGGGATTTCTGAAGCTAATGATATTTGTTTCAACCGCATATAGCCATTAGTTTATGAGATATTTAATGAGAAATTTGTAGGCTATATACAGGGTAATGCTAAGCTGGTGGTACAACTTAAAAAGATGTGATTTTTCATGCAAAAATAAACAAAATGTAAAATAAAATTTTTCGTACGATGCTTCGTTTGATAGAGAATCGAATTTGCAAATCTGCTAAAAGCGCTTGCAATTGCATAGGACTTGCTTGACGCGTCTGTTCATTACCTTCCGTTTCTACTTATCATCAACGAATACATAGTATGTATACATTACATACGTAGTAGATAAATTTCGAAAATTGAGTATCTTGAAAACAAAGCATCATACAATTTCCTATTAACAATCTATATCCGCGACAAAGAAATTCATAATCCATTAGGAAGGAATAAAATCGATAATAACTAAAACAGACCAATTAACATACAAAGAATCGTTCCATAAAACGATGAAGTGAATTTCTTTCCATTCTTTACAATTGACACAAGACATTCTCTAGTCATTAAAATCCCAAGCTCTTTCTCACGTCTCGTGCCATTTAAAAAAAAAAAGAAACATTCACTCGTGCAAAATTACTCGAAACGTTAACAACGCTCGAAAACGATTCTACCTCCGCGCAGACGCAACCAATTATATACGTTTCTAGTGCCGTTAAAATCGGTCAGGAGCGGCGCGAACGGGTCGACAGGCCGGCGATTCTAGGCGATGCCTCGCGTTTCGCTCTGATTCCGTTCCGAGATCGTCCATGATTTTGCTTATGTGTGATGTCGTCGCGCGCGCTCACTCACGTCGGCAAAAAATCGTCAGGCCGTTTGTTATTCTAACGACACATGCCCTCCTCCGACGAAAGTGAATACACAACAACGTGTGAACGGTGAACATAAATTTTTCGCGTAACCAATCGACAAACATGGCGGTTCACGGTTGCACGTGCCCGGGTCCCACCATGAGGGATCACTCAAACGAAAACGGAATCGGCGAGACGGTGAACGTGGAAAGAGAAGAGAGATCCCGAAAGATAGATCGCCGCAGAGAATCGCCTTGAGAGCGGAATTTCATTGTCAAGGCGCCGCGGCGAGGAAAACCGTTCTCCAGAACGTTTCGATGAGCTTTCTGCCTGGTATCGAGGGCGCTCAAAGATGGCGTTCACCCTCTAACCGTAATTTTTCGATCAGGTGGAAAGAATCCACTTCCGAATTATTTGATTAATTTATACCAATGCAAATGGCACGACGCAATTAAATGTTTAGAATTTTCGTTTTTTTTTTTTTTTTTTTTTGGAAAAACAACATTTCATATGTACCAACCTAATATTTCCTTAACCTCTGAGGCATATTATACCGAATAATCATTTTTCCTTAAAATTTCGTTTAGGCACGAAACGTTCTGTATATTCAAAAAACAAAAACTAAACAGGTGATAGCGTGATGGCGAGATAACGACAGGAGGATATCAATAATTTCGAGCAGTTTCGCCGTGCACGGAATGTCGATTATCAGGGGAGGGCCAAATCGATAGAGGTGAAACTGCATCGTCAGGTTTCGGCGGGATAGACTTTCTTGTCGATCCTTTTTAGATGCCTTCCATCGTAAAACATTCGCGGCGCGGCGGGTTAGAGGCTGGCGGCATGCTCGCACGGCCCGAAAGAACTGGTTCTTCTGCGGAGGGTGGTTAAACTCGATGCAATGCGTGCATTTAGTGAAACATCGTTCTGGAATGCAAACACGTGGGGAAGGGTAGGAACCTGCATGGGAACTATCGTGCCATCCTGGCGTTACGATCCACCGGCGTTGAATTTTATACTCTCCATGGATGCGTATCCGTTCCCTCGAACAATCCTCTCGCGCGTTTATAAAACACGTATTTCAATCGAACGCTATTTATTTATATTTCCCGTTAATTGCGATATGTATATTCGTTCCGGGTGGCGCGATAAGTATTCCTCTCGGAGTCTTGTTAAATATTATTGCAGCCTGATCTTGTACGTACCGTTGTGATACTATATTATTCGATCACGGATATATAGTCGTGACGTACGCAGTGTGACGTACGCAGAACAGTTAGTACAAATTAGCTTAAGATAAATCACGTGACGGCATGCGAATCCCTGTGTATGAAAGTTCCTTCGGGTCTTGTATTGCAATAAAAAAAAATTCAAAAGCCTTGAAAACGAGCTGTTCCCACTCAGTAAAACATTAGAAATTCCATTTTAACACTAGAACTATCGAACCCGTCAAAATGACGGATTCCAGATTTCTTATTTTATAATTATAGAAATCCTACAGATACTTTCATCGGAATTAGTTAACCTCTAATTTCTTGTACATTTTATATTGTAGTATATTAAGCTGTATTGCATTATACATATATTACACAATTTAATTTAGCATACATTCAATGCTGGTAGTTCTCTAGTGTTAATTAATATCTAACGATTCTATCCAAAACCTCTCTATCCAACGACTCCCGTAATCTTCGCCTCGTCCGAACACCATTTTTTTTTGCCCCACGGTAACGAGAAAACGCACCATTCTCGAGCCATCCAGTTACGCTTTCTCACGTATTTGCACGTCTGTTCCCTCCTAATCACGCGCGCATTTATTCTCACGCGCGAAACGCATCGCGTGCAACGCGAACGTCGAAAAACGTGCGCCTTGCATCCCCCAACCATTTCAGCGAACCAACACGCCCGTCGTCGTAATGAGTCCTGGCGAACGAAGGATGCGCTTACCCGTGTATCCTTGACACCGTCCGGAGAAGATTCTCGCTACGTAGATCCACAGGCCGTTTACAGAATTATGCTCTCTCCCTCTTTCCCCTCGATCGTTCACGAACGAACAAAAGATCGCCACCGAAAGAACTCACAGACACAGGACACAAGACCATTGTACAAAATATGTACCTTCGCGAGCAAACTCGGCTTCCGCTGAAGGAAAAAGTCACTAACGAGAAGGGCCTCATACCACTTGATAAATTCCAGCTACCAAAATAAATATTAAACCGAATGTTAATTTGGCATAAATTTCAGTAATTCCCAATACCAAGTGGTAGGAGCATGGTAGGAAGCCGAGTTTGCACGTCAGTATACACCGTGAAATTTTGTATCGAAACGGATTGGATATTGGCGCAGAGAGTTTATTACCTCGAGCTGGATTTTTTTTTTGTATTCGCGCATGGACTCATGAAACAAACGAAAATCGAAAAGAGACAAGAAGTATCAATATTTTGCCATTAATGTATTCGCGATGAGAGACTCTCTCTCTCTCTCTCCGACTCCAAGAACGGAAATGACGTTGCTTCGATAGATTTCCGGGGTTAATTCTAGCCAAGGACAATCGTCGATGGAAGAATATCTACCACACGTACTTACATACGTCGATGAACGCCGACCGTGATCGTCGTGCATCGATTGTTCGCGCCACGCTCGAACGTTAACTAATGAGTCGAGGGCCGCGTAGGCTCCCGCAAACGACTGGTTTTGTAATACTTTTTTCTTTGTGAAACTTCGTCGTGTGCGATGGAAACAGCTGACAGAGAATAGTGCGCGAGAACGCAGTATAAGTCGTGCGTCTGGGAAGATGCGATTCAAGATCTTTCATCGATCGAGGCTGGCGCGTTGTTTCTTGGGTATTGCAAGAACTACGGAAGATATGTTGGTCCTGGTATACAAGAATAAACGGGACACTATATCGAAATTATGTTCACGTACAGTAAAACTGTCAGAAGAAATGCTGTTTCTTTTTTCTTATCACCTTTCCATTTCGAGCACTTCCGACGAGCAAACGATTAGGATATACATACTGTAATT